TTCTTGCGATTCTGCCAATAAAAGGGTCCACAAGAGGTGAGCATTTATTCAAGTATTTCATTGAGTTCGCTCAGGAAAAAAACAACCTATGGATAAACTTATCTCAGTGTGTACTGATGGTGCTCCGTGTATGGTGGGGAAAAACAAAGGATTTGTGGCGCTTTTCGTTGAACAGGAAAATATACCCATCCTACGTTTCCATTGCATTCTACACTAGGAGGCTCTTTGTGGTCAGATATGTGAGGTGCAGCTTGGCGGAGTGATGTCGCTGGTCATTCGTGCGATCAACTTTATTTGACAATACAAGCGAACATCCTTCTCGATCAGCTTTATTGGTGACCGAGCGTCAAATGAGCGACAGTTTAAAACACTGCTGGATGAAGTTGGAAATAACTACTATGGTTTGAGTTTATACGGCAATGTACCTTGTTTGTCAAAAGGGAAGGTGCTTAGCCGTTTTGCGGCTTGCATGAACGAAACCCGGACTTTCCTTGAAATAAAGGGCATTGAGAATCGTCAGCTAGCCAAACCTGAGTGGCCCCTCATGTTTTACTATCTCGTGGATATGACCAAACATCTCAGCCAACTCAAAGTTAAATTGCAAGGCAATGGAAAAACAGTGTTATTCCCTCATTAATCCATATTTGCTTTTGAAAACAAGCTAAAACTTTTTATCATGGATCTCGAAACAGATGGTTTACTGCATTTGGAAAAACTGAGACAATATAAGGATGCATGCACAGTAAGTGAGTCTACTCAAAACTTTGATCACCTCCAGCTGGTTGGCTTCATATCTAGTCTCCTGGAGTCTTTCAAAGCACGCTTTAGAGAATTTCGAGAGCATACTTGTCTTTTAAAGTTCATCGCCCATTCAGCCGAGTGTTTACTGAACACAGCCAACCTAAGTTATATTCCTGGTGTCTCTGTTAGAGATTTTTAAGATGACTTGACTGACCTGGAGGCCTCAGACATGTGGGTGAATAAGTTCAAGTAACTCAATGAACATTATGAAAGGATCGCATGACATAAAGCGGAGTTGGCAAGCAAGCATATGTGGACAAACATTAAAAAAATTTCAACCCAAAGACCAGTGGATAATCAAAACTTGAAACACGCCTTCGCTCACATATCACACACTGCAGCGTGTCAGTATTGCTGAATTGACCCTGTTTGGATCTACGATGTGAGCAGTCCTTCTCACAGCTTATATACATCAAGTCCAGCCTGCGATCACGTCTAACGGATGAAAGTCTCAATGCTTGCATAAAGCTTAACCTCACTAACTACCAACCAGAGTATAAAGTCATCAGCGAATCCATAGGCACCAGAAGTCGCATTAAAAATGACAATCATTAGAACATTATTTAAAAATGCAGTCTTATTATACTCGCATTTAATTGAACTTCATCTTTAAATATACCAGATGGCTCTCACTAAAATACATTTCCAAATATTTCCTTTCTTTGTTCTCTGAGTTGAAAAGGTAGCTGACCCCTGATGAACGGAATGCTCCGCCATGGCTCCGATTGGCAACGTCCCTCAGTGCGTGGTTTTGCTGGCATACGATTTCGTTCAGTGAACGCTCGTCGATAGCCGTTGGCTCTGAAAAGCTCCCGGAGCAGCTTTGCCTTGTCTCGTTTGGTGGCCGGCGTGCTGCAGTTTGTGTCGATCCGGCGGTATAGTACACGTATGAAATCTTCGCTTTTGTCACAGTGGGTGGTTGCTAATGTAACTCAATATTTTCAAAGTGTTTGTCGGTTTACGATAGATAGACGCCGCCATTTTGCCGTCCGGTTGACGGCAGACGAGATCGTCCAAGAACGGAAGTCTGCCCTCCACCTCTTCGTCCATCGTGAAATGTAGATCGGAGAACATAGAGTTCAATTTTTTTTTGCAGTTGCTGATACTATTCTCTTTGATAACAGCGTAGATTTCGTTCACGTAGAGTGCCCGAAAAGTAGGCTCGTACTCTTCGAACAGCCGTCTCTGAGTTTTTATAGTACCACCTCGGCAATAAGCCCGGAGATCGGGGACCCCATTGGGGTGCCTTTGATTTGCTC